AAGGCAAAATTAGAGCATGGTAGAGGCTACCAAGCAAGTTCTACGGCAAGGAGGCACCATCACTGTTTGGCCATTCCTCGAGCTTAGTTTTGGAATCTCTGGCATTAGGGCGTGTGTACATACTGGCACTGTATCTACAAAACCTGTGCGTGTAGAACTATAGTGAACGGTCTCGTTTGATATTTTTGATGAGATCCCACTTCTTCGTTGTTGGTGCCCCGTGTCACTCACGTAAACGCGATATTGCACTTGCGGCGCTTCCCTCCATTAAGACAGAGGGGCCACCCACTCCCGGTTCCTGATCTCCGCTGGCAGCGGGTTCCCGCGGCGCACCGGAGCTGGACACATCAGGGCTCAGCAGAACCGAGCTCAGCGTCTGTCCCCATGTCTGCTTGTGGGTGGGGGGGGGGAAGGAAGGGGCAGGGAGGGGGGAGGCATTGAGGGAGGGACTAGGGGGGTTGTGTCGAAGTCAGAGGGAGACGTGTAGAACGGAAGTACACGTCCACACGAGTCCAATGAAAGACACCATGAGACGCAGAGACAGACGGGAGAAAAGGACCAGAACACGCTCGAGTCACGTGAGGAACAACTGGACGCGCTGAGTCTAAAGCCCGCGTTCACTTCGTGCGCCGCTCAGCGCTGCTGCCATCGTCCCCCCCGTCTCACGTCTCATGGCAACGCTGAATAAAGGGATTTAAAACGTAATGATGGTGGAATCCATTTAACGGCACTGGTTCCCAAACTGGGGGCTGGGGCCCCCTTGGGATGCCGCAGTGGAACTACAGAGGTAAAGCAACATAAAGTACCATGGTAACACATATGGAGGGATCCCGTAAGTTGCGCCTCAGAACTAGGAGGAGACGGAAATGAAGCGCTCCTCACCCACTCGGTCGGGCAGCACCTCCAGCCCCACCACGCGCTCGTCCCCGTACAGCTCCAGGCCGTAGATGCAGTCGAAGCCGTCGTACTTGATCAGGTAGAGGGACGGGTTGACGGGGACCTGGTCCAGGACCGTCCCCTTCCACTGGGACGACTTGCCTGCGGGGACGCACACAAGCACGTCAACATCGGACAAACGGAGTGACGAGCGTCTCTTTACAGTGGTGTCTCGTTGAAGGTAAGAGACGTCGGTTTGAATCCCACTCACTGCCCTCCTTCCAGATGTGCTGGATCCTGCAGCCCACGATGTTCCTCCTGGGCGGAGCCGGAGTCTTACTGGGACCAACGCTGGTCCTCTGCTTCCTGCAGGGAGAGAAGACGAGAAGACAGGTGGGGACAGAAGACGGGGAGCAAAACGAGGTCAAAGTGAAGCGTGAACGAAAGACAAAGACGAGGTAGAAGCTTGATTTAACTGTCAGATTATCATCATTCCAACGGTCCTTGAACGCATCATGTGACACCTGGTAGAAATATTTGTTCCTTCACGTCTCATTTAAAATCGCTGGTGTTTAAATATTTAAACCAGGTTCCAGAAGAAACATTTCATTCTATGACGTCATCAGCGACTCATCTGAGACCAACAGTCATGTGACCATAAATCAGAGAAACCACGCCCCCCCGACTGAGCCCTTTATGAACCCTTCAATGAGGGAATTACCCACAAGTCATTGCAACGTTAAAAACGGGATGACCGTAAACAAAGAGGACGCGCGTCCAGACCGTCACAATAAACGGAAAGATTTAAAGCATTACGGGTTAAAGATAAAATCAGACGATATTTATTAATTTATTCATCAAATATTTAATTTTGTCATCAAAGAAATTTTGACAAAACCCCCCCCAGAAGAAACGGATTGAAGGAGGCGGAGTCGCTCCCATCGGAGTGAAAAGGAGGAAACAAACCGCCCCGTCAGTCAGAAATGGTGACGTTGTCGTGGTGACGTGATGTGTCCCTCAGGGGACAGTGAGGGGGGACACTTAGGGTTGCGTGGGGACAGTGAGGGGGGACACTCAGGGTTCCGTGGGGACAGTGAGGGGGGACACTCAGGGCTCAGTGGGGACAGTGAGGGGGGACACTCAGGGCTCAGTGGGGACACATAGATTAGATTGGACTGTTATTTTATGTTGTTTTTTCCAAACAGTCGTGTTCCTCAGAGGAGCAGGACTTTTATTTTGAAGAGAAAAAGGAGACAGAAACATGTGACAGTAAACACGTCGCTAACAATGCGAATCACAACACGCGTGTGATGGCGTCCTTCAGACTTACTTGTGCGAGTTCTTCTTCTTCATCATGTTCGCAGAAACTCCCGAATGTCCTGAAACACAAGCAGGCGGCGGTGCGTTCAGCGCGCAACGCGTCCAATGAGGGAAAAGACACGTCCCAAACATCACTT